CCTTCAAGTTTTTAAGACCCCAGACGCTATATCTTTTGATAGCCGGGCACCATCAGCTTTCTTCACCACCTTTGCTTATTCACCCGCTTTGTCTTCAGTGGTTGTGTCGGGAAGGTGAGCATCATAGAATGCCAATTTAACAGAAGAAAGTATTCTTGTGTTGAGGGAGTACTTGAGTGGAGCCCCAATGTCACCCTCTGGTTTTCTTAACTGACCTTTTACAATGTTTAACATTTGTCTTTTGAATTTGTTTTTCACTTTTATCATTTGTGGTGGTTGTTGAGAACGTACACCGCCAAACCAATTTGACTGCTTCAGCTTGTACAATTCAGTGAATGGGTTACAGGCCTCAAGCTGCACCACCCTCACTTGCCATTTCGGAGTCAGCCTTCCCTCCTCAACGTGAGCTCACTGCCTTCTAAGGTCCTTATCTAACCCTCGGCACTGCTGTTGTCAGTTTGATCCTATCTAGATCGTTCTTCAAGGAGCCTTTGTGGTCTAGTGGTTACACATTTGGCTGCTAACCACAAGGTCAGCAGTTCAAAATCACCGTTCTCTCTGAGGGAGAAAAATGAGGCGTTCTACTTCTGTGAAGAGTGGAAGCCATGGAAATCCACAGGGATAGTTATACCCTGTGTTATAGGTTCACTATGAGTCAGAATTGACTCAATGGTGGCAAGTCAGTCAGACAGCTCTTCAAAGAGCATAATGCTCAAGGCAGACATTTTTCAAATAGTTAAGCTAGACTGTTGTTTGCTTTTAAGATAACTTCAATACGCTTGACACAGTGGAGGTATGGATTGTTATAAGCGCCCCCAATAAAATAATTTTTAAAAAAAGATAACTTCAGAGGATATTTTCAGTTTAAGATTTACACTTTCCTCAGAGCACTGGAAGAACTAGGTGGTGCCTGGCCTCCACTACCCACTGCTCTGAAAGGGATCACATCAGAAGGTCCTGGGTAGAGTGAGAGAATATGTGGAACAAAATTCAAGATCGTAGCAAAGGCCAGGCTTAATGGTCGGATAGAGGCGGAGGCTCCCAGGCGCCCTACGTGTCTGAGAGGGAACTCATCACTATGCCTCCCTTCAGCCAGACCACAGGCAGATCCATACAAGTAACAGAGGTGCCACTGAGTTACACACTCCTTGGCATGATCAACCATTTGAGATCAAAAGGGCGGCATTTTCCCCAGGACCAGATTCAGAAGGTCATGAAAGGAGGCGGCATGGAAAGAGAAAACACCAGGAGGAAGGGGCCTAAGTGACGTTACAGTGGAGGGATTTCAAGGAATGCGATGAGCACCTTGTGTGTGAATTGTTCAACGCAAAACTGATTTGTTCTGCAAACCTTCACCCAACTCACAACAAAGAGTTAAAAAACAATTTCTGTGGACAATCACGGATTTGATGAGCTTGACGTGTGTGTGTGTGTCAGGCTCATCAAATTGACATTATGTATATTATATGCGTATATGTAATATATATTTGTTGTATATCTTGTAATACCCATGAAAGTAAATACCTCATGCTGCTGTGGTTGGGCCCTGTCTAGTGGCTTCTAAGAGCAACCCCACGTGGCAGACTAGAACTGCCCCTGGGGTTTCCAAAGCTGTCATCTTTACAAAAGTAGGTCTCCAGGTCTTTCTGCTGAGGAACCTCTGGGTGGATTTGAACTACTGGCTTTTTCTATTAGTAGCCCAGTGCCCATGTTCCCAGCTGCTCACCATTCCCCAAACCCGGCTCCATGCCTTTCTGTTGTGTGCTTTTGGCCTGAATGGGTTTCCATTCTTCTCCACCTGGCCTATCCCCAGGTCCTCCTAGACTCCACGCAGACCTTCCCCCAAGTAGAAATAGGACTTCTGGCGGTATGACTAGTCACTGAGGAACTTGTGAATGTCTTAGTAGTGAGGTATTGGAGGAGCTTCCAGAAAGATTTTCAGACTCGAAAACCCTACATGAGTCACTGTGAGTTGGAATTGACTCCGAGATGGTGGGTTTGGGTTTTTTTGTTTCCCCCCTTCGTTGGTCCTCCTATGAGACACACTGGACTGCTAAGTGCAAGGTCAGGGATTCAAGTCCACCAGCACTTCAAGGAAGGGGGAGCCATCAGGTTTATAGTAAATGTAAAGATTAACGGTCTTGGACACCTTGTGAGCTCACCGTGGGTTGAAGCGACTTGACGGTAGTGGGCTAGCTTTTTCTTGTTTCGGTGGTACAGTGGGGAGCATTCTGGCTCTGCTTCCTCAAGACACACTTGCTTGTTCTGGCAGTCCATGGTATTTATTCTGTAATTCAAATGTATCACTTCTTCCCAGGCCTTCTTGATCCACTGTCCAGAGTTCACATGCATAGGAGGCCATTGACACTGGCCTGCCTGGGGCAGGTGCACTGTGGTCCTCAGAGGGACATCTTTGCCTTTTAACACTCTAAAGAGATCTTTGCCTGCAGATTTGTCCAATGCCGTATGTCGTTTGATTTCTTCTTCTTCTTTTTTAAAAGTCATTTTATTGGGGGCTCATACAACTCTTATCATAATCCATATATACA